GGACTGGAAGCAAGTTCAACGCGGTCATATTGAAGAGGCTGTTCATGAGTAAGGTTAACAAGGCCCCCCTTTCTCTCTCCCGACTTGTCACTTTCATGAAGGGAAAGGTACTTTTCTATATTTTTACTCTATGCCTAATGATTCAATGTTTTGTACTTCAATTTATGCTGTTGCTGTATTCTTTGTGTTGTAAAGACTTCGTATATAATTTCTAAGTTTTAAATGTCCTATCATATTCTATTTAGTTAATTTGTTTGTTTACAAATACAAACAATTAGGCTAGATATTTAAAAGGAGTGATCTGAATATGAAATGCTTGCTCAACAGCATGTATAGTATTCAAATATTGCTGGCTTTAAATAGCCAGAGGAAGGATTACAGCCAGTTATAACAGGATCATGCAAGGGGCTGTACAGAAAATGAATGATACAAATATCTACCGAGAGAATCTGCTAGTATGTATAGTATTCAAATATTGCTGGCTTTAAATAGCCAGAGGAAGGATTACAGCAAGTTATAACAGGATCATGCAAGGGGCAAAATGAATGATACAAATATCTACCAAGAGAATCTGCTTGTATGTATAGTATTCAAATATTGCTGGCTTTAAATAGCCAGAGGATTACAGCAAGTTATCACAGGATCATGCAAGGGGCAAAATGAATGATACAAATATCTACCAAGAGAATCTGTTAGAAACAATTCAAGTTGGCTATGCACTAACTAATCAAAGTATACCTTCAAATTTCGTGGTTTATAATTAACTATTAGCCTGATTTTTTTCTTACATATGGATTTCTGATTTTGAAGCAACTAGTAAAAATGCTGCTGTAGCTTGAGTATTTTTATCATACAGTTCTAATTGTATATAATCTAAAATGTTAGTAACTTCTACATGCTCTATGTACCTTTTTTTGCCAGGTTAATACTTTTAACAGTACAACTAGGCCATACTAACCAAGATATACAAGTCTAATTGCACATTAATTTATAATAAACTATTAGCATAATTGAATCTTGAGGGGTTGCTCAATTGGTCAGGTATTAGGTTTGCTCTCCAGTGGTCACTAGTTGAGTCTCATCAGGCCACTGAGGTGAATATCCGACCGTAAACTTCAGGGTCTCGTGGGATTAGTCGAAGTGCGCGCAAGTTTGTCCGGACATTCACGGTCATTAAAAAAAAAAATTTAATTAACTACTAGCACAATTTTTTTTATTCTGCTTTTGAAATTTTGATGTTGTAGCAACTAGTAATAAAATGCTGCTGAAACTTGAGCATCTCATCATATGGTTTGAACTGTATAATCTATATTTTTCAGTACTTACTACTTTCTACATTCTCTATGTACCTTTGTAGGAAGACAAGATTGCAGTGCTTGTTGGGACTGTCACTGATGATATTAGGGCTTATGAAGTCCCAGCTATGAAGGTAACAGCTTTGAGGTTCACAGAGAGAGCAAGGGCTAGAATTGAGAAATCGGGTGGAGAATGCTTGACTTTTGACCAGCTTGCTCTTAGAGCTCCTCTTGGGCAGAACACGGTAATGACTGTTCAATTTTTTTTACTGTCAATTTCTTTTTGTTGATAATTTTGTGGTTGCTCATGTTTGATATAGTTGGGTGGTGTTAAACAGTGGAAATGAGATTTTTAAACCAATAATAGGAATAATTTTTTTGTCCACGTGATTATAATTGAGTACGGAATGATTGTTTGTTGTGTTCTATACTATGAATCATTTTTCCTGTTGTAACTAGCAATTAAGGTTGATTTGGATTCTGATT